CATAATATAAGCAAATAAATTACAGAAGGGCTTAGAGAAGAAAGGGGGGAAAAAAGAAGGCATAAAAGACAGGAAAAATGGAAATGAATATCAATTCAAATTAGAAACATTAATCATTGAAAAAAATCTAGTTTTATGGGAAATATTGCCCCCTGGTGGTGGTGTGTGGAGTGTGTGTGTGTGTGTGTGTGTGTGTGTGTGTGTGTGTGTTCGATTTTAAATTGATATACACTCTGAGCACTAGCAAATGTGCTGCTGAACATCAATAATATTTTCTCTAATCTGTTTCTAGGGCAGCAAGAAAGAGGATGTTTCCAGCACATTTATATCACTGACAGAACTTGAAAAGCCTGCTTTCCCATAACTGTGGAAAAGGGAAATGAGGTGTGTTTCATCCACATGTTATCTCAAGTATGGAATCACCAGTGGCTGAAAACCTCTGACTTATCATGTGTAGAGGACACATAAGCTCCTGAATGACATGGCACCCTGGGAAGGAAAAACAACCCCACGAGATGACATTTTTCTAACTCTGCATTACAAACCCAAGCTCAGTGACACAAAAATCTCACAGTCTGTATTTGAACACTTTTTCTCTTCTTTTTTTTTTTTTATATAGCCCAGGCTGACCTCAAAGTCATGGCAATCCTTCTGATTCAGCTTCCTGAGTGCTGGATCACAGGCATGTGCCCCATGCCAGGTGCTTTTTCTCTTCTTCCCCTCCCCTTCACTGGCTTTCAGATTCTATTACAACAAAAACCCACAAAGGTCTCTACAGCTTGATGTGCTATGATGACACACACACACTGGAAGCGTTGAGGCTAGACTAAGGTATCAGAGACTTCTGAAGCAGATCCCAATCTGCTCAGTGCTATGCCTCATGGCAAGAGGAAAGACTTAGGGACAGAATTAAAGAGACAGAGAAGGGGAACTGTGATGACCAGTGCTTGAACAAGCAAAGGCCCTGGTGAGCCAAAGCAGTCAATACCTATTGGTGACACAATCAGTTTAAGTTGGTGTAAGGGGCTGCATAAAGGGACTACCTGTGGTTGCTAGGGATACATTGCTGACACAGGCAAGGCTTGTAAAGGAAGAGACATAGCACTCTTGTGTTAGGCTGGGAACAGAATTTGGGTAAGAGTCACTCTGACATCAGCTGTGTGTTATCTCATATGCTTTGGTCAGACTAACTTTTTTTTAAATTGAGTTTATTGGTACATTTTAGGTATACAATATGATGACATTCATCATTGGGAATTTGTACCTTCATATGATGTATCTTGGTTCTTATTTTTTTCCCCGATTCCCCTGCCCTCCCTTCAACCTCTCCACCCCTCCCTGTTCACAAAGACTTTGTTTCCATTTTTTCCTTTTCTCCTATTTTTTCCTTTCCCCTACCCTTTCCAGTTCCCCTTCCCTGTTAGACCTTTTCTTCCTGTTTCACATTATCTATTATATATTTTGATCCTTATTTAAGCCAATTGCAGGGTTAACACTTTACAGTCTGCACTGGTTACAGCCTGCTTTGGGCACAATCAACAGGGAAGTCGGCCACACTAAGGGGTGAGTGAACTGAAGCTCTGTGCGTTATCTCAGCTGTGGCCTTCTGCAGAGGCCATTCCCATGGGCTTCTCCAGGATGCCAACATGAGAGCTGTCCACAGAGTGTGGGGAATTCAGGAGAACTCAGAGGTTTCAGGGACTGCAGACTCCAGCCACATATGGAACACAGAACAAGTGCCCATGGTCAACTCTATCCCTAGAGAGATCTAAGTTACTAGAAAGGAAAAAGAGTCCCAAGTTTGGGAGGTGACATGTCTAGGCAGACATGAGTTCAGCCCATTAAGGCAAGGGAGAGGGAGTGGGGACACAGAAAAGGGTAGCATAGAAAGCCAAATACTTTCTCCAAAACTAAGGCAGTAAGAATGGTTCCCGCCATCAGCATAAAATAGAACTAGGAATGGAAGTGTTTTCACTTCAGCATTGTACATGCTTTGTGTCTTCTGGTCAAACTGCTCGGCCCTGTGTCTGATCACTGACAATTTCTATACTATCCTCTTGTCCTCATGGAACAAGACAGACAGTGTGACCAGAGTAGTGCACCTCTCTGTAATACTAAAACAAGAAAATAAACAGCCAAATCAAATAAAACCAAACCAAAACCAGAAAACAAAAGCCACACCTCTACTTTTTAAAAAAATCCAAACACAGAGGGTATGGAGGGCTAGAAATGGGGAAAAAATAAGAACCAAGATGCATTATGTAAAGGTACAATTCCCAATGAGAAATGTAATTGTGTTGTATACCTACAATGTACCAATA